AAGTGGCCTTTGTCGTCATCCGAGGAAGTCGGGGTATAGGACCGCATAATGGGCTTGCCGTGGATTTCAGCTTGCACGGATATATGTTGACCGATGGGAAGACCCAGGACATCGTCAGGGTGAGGTAAGCCAAAACGGTAGCTAATGGATTGTAACTAAGCTTTCTCCCCATGGGACGTAAGCAGCCCTACTCACATCGCGGTGTTGTGGGACACGGCAGTTTTTTTGATGAGCGTAAATTCTTGCCAAACGGCGGGATCCAGAACAGGTTTTTCTGTATACGCGTGAACAGATCAATAACATGAGGAGACCAAACGACGGTGTTTTCTCGTCGTGTCGACACGTACTCTTGCTCTTGCCAAACACGAAGAAAGCAACAATGGCACTGAGGCCAAGGAATGCTGCAAACCCAATGGGTACCATTTTGTCGTCGAGTCCTTCTAGGGGGCCAGACTGGAAAATTTTGGACATGGGACGCGAGTCCGAGTTTTGAGAAGATCCCCAAGCGCGATGAAGGACGTTTTGCAAGCTACCGAGATCTCCAGACGTGTCACCTGGGAAGAGATTGAGAGTATCAACTACGTAGCGTGAACCAAAGATGAGAAGAGAGAGAGTCAAAACAAATGACCCCACAAAAGTGAGCGAGGGATGGGACGACATTTCTACAAGGCGGCCAGACCACCTATTTCCAAATCTAGGCCAATTTTTTTTAACTTGGATAGAAAAAGTTGCCAGTGCAAAATCACAGTTGTGAGAGATGTGAAAAAGATGTATTGGTAAAAGTACATATGCAATAATGTAGGACATTTGTTAACTCAGGGGACTTCTCTTTTTCTCATGAAATAACGGCCAACTCCTTCATAGCTAGCAATCATGATCCCGCAAGCTGGGGCGATCTTGGCTAGTCGAGGGACTATACCAGTGTAGAGAGAGGAGATACCCTCTTGGGTGGCGATTTTGGTTAGGAACCGCATTGTTTGAGGAGGAACTCCCTCCTGTGACAATACTAGAGCCTGTCGTCTTGTTTTGGCAACATCAAATGGATGTGTTAGTACGGCAGCAGTAATGCCTGAGGCAGCTCCCGATATGAATTCATATGGTGCCCCTTGTCGCTTGTATCGTGTACGGAACATCGACTTCCATGCTTCATAACTAGCCCAATACACGCCAGAGAAGGGGACGTCTCGCCACAGAGTGGGAGTGAGCCCTCTCCATAGCGCACCTATACCTTGTGACCGCACAAGAGCTCTTGTGGACACGAGTACGGATGAGAGAGTATGCGGTACATTGGGGTTGGCAGGTGTAGATTGCAGTGATGTCCTGAGCAATTCTAGTGGAGATGCAACGGTACTGATGATCGTTCGAGCCGCGATTCCAGAGAGTAATGGCGTCATGGCGGGATTGGGCGAAAGATGCGGGAATACTTTGTTGAGTAAGTGATCATAAGTGATCATATAAACAGATTGCGAGGGTACTGCTATTAGTCTGAGGCGAAAAGAGTCAGCTAAGAGTTTATTGGGTAAGGGCTGTCCAGATCAACTCACAATGTCGTACCAACACCCTTCCATAGACCTCTAATGCCTTCGAAACGCGCGACTTGTATCAGCGCATCCCAAAAGCCCGTTACTCTTTGAGCCCGGACAGCACCTCCCTCGTAAAAGCAGACACAAAGCTCATTTGGTAGCTGCGCCGTTCCGCTACGTACAAGAGACGATGAAAAGAGTTGAGAAGATGCCACTCTTGATGATGCAGCAGATGCCGGTGAACTGGCAAGACTAGGAGCAAGTGAGGACATTGATCGAGTACAAGGCAAATGAGGAGCATGTAGGCACGTTTGAACATTTGCCGTGGGTTGTTTTCGCGGCATCTGGGTTTGTAATCTTGTCTTGACTACGTCAAAGGGTGTCACTGCGAACGCATCATCATTAGCCAAAGATTATACAAGACTTTTCACATGCACTTTAAATGGGAGGCGGGTTCTCGTATATATGAAAATAATATTTGTTGTTTAACATGAAAAGAAGATGGTACTTACTAGTTACAGCGGTCAATGACGCTCCGGACATTGCTGCGATGGTTTTTGCTAGCAGTGGATCCATCTGTTGGGACAGCCGGAGTAGCGAAAGCTCCGTCACCCTCTCCGGTGGCTCCAGTTGCAATCGCTGAAGCCAAAAAGATACCCGGAGTGATGACCATCCTGAATGTTGTATAGCTTTGCTTTGTGAACTATTAGTATGCCTATCCATTATAGCTATGTTTTTGCGAGTAATATGCGAAACACACGCTCGTACTCAATCCTCGATCTCTTGCGTATTTCTTGGAGCCTGGTTTCGTTTTGGAGTTTTCTTTACCCTGTTTCTTCGGATGCGGCTCGGCGCAATTGAGTCCCATGAGCAATCTTATCAATCAGCCCTTATCCGAAAAAGACGAAAGCCCTCGGCAACTCTTGATCTCTACCACATCGACCCACTCTCCTTTGGTTTGG